TGAGTGGAGCGACAGGACGGGCCGAATCAGCCTGGGTGGCTCTTCTGCGCCTGGGACCCAACAGCCTCAGCCAAGGGCAGATCTTCCCTGGCCCAGCCACCCAGAGGCCCACTGCCTGGGGCCCGGCTCTTCCCCCCTGCCCTCCCCTGCTCCAGCGCTTTTCTCTGCAGTCCTTCCTTTCCAAGCGCTCCTTATTCCCCAAACTCCTCTGTGACCTGCCGGCCTTCGTGCTGGAGGTGGGCTCTAGCCAAAGCCGAGCAGAAGCAATTGAGCCCCTCGAAGGAGCCGCGTTTTCCTAAAGCAGACCCCCCTCCAGGCCGCCTGGCCCTTTCTGCACCCCAGGCTTTGCTCAGGTCCAGCTGGGGGTCTCCGGTCTCCCTGGACCACCCTCTGGGTCTGACTCTTCCTTCCCAGATCCAGGATCTGATGCATCTGCTGGATTTGCTCCAACATGTAACTCAGATAAAATAATTTTGACCCGTGATTTTGGTCCACTAAGGGGTCAGCCCATCTTCTGTCTTGGTCAACTGGTCAATTTGAAAACCTCCCCTTTTCTTCCATTGACTAGGCTAGACATACGGATATGTTAACCCCAACCTCGATATTTTATTCCAAACCCGCTGCAAAACTGTTGATGAAGAAGCTTTCCAGGCAACCGTTTAACCCATTCCAGGTGCCCCAGACCAAGGTACCCCCAACGTCCTTGTGCCTGTCTCATCCAGCAGAGCCGCGCAAAAGCTGACTGACCCAATTCAAGGTCCACCCCACCCTCAGCATCCCCTCGGTCTCCTCACCCCAGAGGCAAGAAGGGGACCTGGTTAAGTGGCCTGGCTCTTGAGGGACCCACCTGGGCTCCTAGGGAGGTCCCCCTCCGCCTTTCCTCAGGCTCTCTGCTGCTGGACCCCCCCCCCCTCCTCCTTGCATGCCCTCCCAGGACAGACCCAAACTCCCTGGCCTGCTGGGTTCCTGGGCTGCCTCTTCCCCTTCGGACCCTTTGCTCCAGGGCAGCCTCCCCCACCCAGCCAGAGGCCCCCTTGAGATCATCTCTGCCCTTTTACCGTCTTGACTTAAAGCTTCAAGGGACCCCCTCTGAATGCCCCCAGTCCCCCCAGTGGGGGAAACGGAGCAGCTGGTGAAGAGAAAGGATTCGGTTCCATAAGGAGGGAAGGCCCACAAGTTCCTCCAAGCTGCCCTCCAGCCCGCTTTGCCCCCCAGGATGTGCCCCGACCCCTGTGGACCAAGGGGGAGCAGGTGGGAGGCAACGGGGATCAGGCCATTTGGGGGGAGAGGGGAGTTCTCCGGCCTCAGCTCCAGAGGAAGGCAGGGATGCTGCTGGGCCTCTGGGGCTGCTTTGGGCCGATTGAACAGGGGCCCTTTGGGACACACCCCCGCATAGGGTGGAGGGGAAGAGCTGTCTCCGGGAAGTCTTTGAATCCTCCCCCCCCCCCATCAGTACCAAGCCCCTGCGTAGGAGGGTTTGCACACCCTGGGCAGGTACCTGTCAGAGCCCCCCCCCTTCCCCCTGGCGCAGCCAGGGATGGGCCGGTGTGTCATGGGGGGGGGGGGAAGTGAGGGGGCGGGGACAAGAGAGGGAGGAGAAAAATTAGCTTCTCTCGGGACACTTTGCTGGAGCGGCGGCGGCGGCGCAGCGACACACCTGCCTGGCTGAAGGTCTTCAGGTAAGCCGGGGCAGAGGGGAGGGAGGGAGGAGTGCTGGGCTTTGGCGCCGTTGGCAGAGGCGGCTGCTCTTCGCCCCGACCTGGTTCATGCCGGGGTCAGGCAAACCCACCTGGCTGGGAGCAGCTCCGGGTTGCCTTGGGCGCAGCCGCTCCGAGCGCCGGCAGAGGGCTGGGACTGGGCTGCAAGCAGTCCCGAAGGCCGGTCCCTTCCCTCCCATCTGGATACTTTCTTCGTGCCCGGTACAAGCTGGATCCAGGCCTCCGGTCTACTCGCGCCCAACTCCGCGCCCGGTCTCCGCCACCTCCACCCCGTCGCCGGGAAAGCTTCCCGCTCCCCCTGAGCCTCGCCTCTTTGGGCAGGGCGAGAGCTGTTTCTTGGCAGGCGTGATGGGGCTGGGGGGGGGTGTGCAGCCCACCTGGCAGAAAGCGGGGCTGATTTGGTGCAAGCCAAACAAGCCCCGTTCCCTCCTCCTCCTCCTCCTCCTCCTTCTTCCTGACCACCAGCCTGGCCTTCCTGGGACTTTTCACAGTTTCCCCGAGGCCTTCTTAAGGATCGTGCCTAGGATTGGACGCAACCCCCCAAGGTGCGAGGGGCCAAAACACATCCGTGGGTCAGTCACGTCTTGTAAACGGGGCTTCTGCAGTCTAAACTGGTTTGCAGCCGCATCCCGCCGCTCGCGGCCTCGCCCTCCGCTCCCACCCGGGAGGGTGTGTGGTTTCTTCTCAGTCAAAAGAGGTTTCTCGCCCAGCCCCCAAACGGGTTTCAGTTTTGTTCCCTAGAGTGGAAAAATGGGACGCTGGTCTGCCGTCGATTTGATTTATTTTTGAATGTTTTTTAGAATCATAGAATAACAGAGTTGGAAGGGATCTTGGAGGTCATCTAGTCCAACCCCCTGCTCGAGCAGATCTACCTAGGATTGAATTCACAGCCTCTCGATTCTGTGAGGCGAGAGCTCCACCTCTAGGCCACCCAACTCTAGGCTTCAGCCCAACTCTCCCCATCCGGATCCACCACTATCTATTTTTATTTATTTATTTATTTGATTTGTCAATTGCTTACAAGATAATAAGTATAAGTATATACATAGTTATGAATACATGAAATTGGTACATATAAGAAAAATAAAAGAAACAATAGGACAGGGAGGGTAGGCACGTTGGTGCGCTTACCTACGCCTATCCAGGTGGTTTTGAGCGTTGTGTCTCTCTTCTAGAGGATTAGCCACCCCGACTTGTCCTGCAATCTGCCGGTTCTCCTTACCGGTTTCCGCAGCCCTTAATCAAGTCCCGAAGACCGGCGGACACGGCCCTGAACCTCCGGCCTCCCCATTTGGCGCCCCTCTCCGACTGGATGAGGAAGCGCCGCCGAGCGCCGCCTGCCTCGGGTTGCGGAAGGAGCTGCGGTGGCTGGAAAACCCACCGAGATTCATCCAGGCCACCATTTCCCTTTTCCGACCCCAGCCCCTCCAGCCCGTACAGGGAGGGCAGGCAGGCAAGGAGGAAAGGTTCCTCTGACACAGGTAGTCCTTGACTTAAAACAGCCCACTTAGTGACCTTCGAATTTAGTTCGAAGTTACAACGGCACTGAAAGAAGCGGAGCAGCGTGAGGGGCCGGGGAACCCGGTCCGGTCCTGGAGAGCCTTCGCGGCTCCCCCTCGGATACGCCGAGCGAGGGCGGGAGGGCGGTGGGGGGGCCCGGAGCATCTGCTGCCTTCGCGGCGGGGGTGGCCGACCGAGGAGACTGGCGGGCGGAGCGGAGGCGCCCTCGCGCTTCTCCCAACAGGTCGCGCCGCTTCGGGCTCTCGGAAGAGCGCGCCGCCCGCCCGCCCAGGCTCTTGCCCACGGGCGCTCGTCCCCGTCTGGCTCGCGGCTTCGGGGACCACCTAAGGGGAGGCGAGGTCTCCGCCGGCCTGGACGCCCGGTAGCGGGAGGGGGAGGCCGGAGCTGAAAGCCCATTTGAGGGCCAACTGGTCATGACCGATTCATCAAAACCACGACGTGGAGCGGAGAGCTGAAAACCGGCGTTGCAGCACGGACGGGTTGCTCCGGCCCCAGGCGAGCTCCGGCCTTTGGGCCCTCTTCAGACAACCGGCTGAATGTCAACCCTGCAGAGTTCCCCGGTGTCCCCAGAGAACCCCAGCAGTTTGCTTGGCTAGGCTTTCTGTTGTGTAAGCCCAGAAAAGTTGCCTGCCCGCCTTTGTTTCTAGAAGGACCGGGGAGGGGGGGGTGTTGCTTGCCTTCAGCCCCCAACCAGGCTGGGAAAGACTAGGAAGCAGCCCGTGTCCCCATCCGGCTGCCCAGCCCTACCTCTCCCCACCTGGGCTGCGCTTGCTTGTCCTGAATTTCTGGGGAGGGGTTGCCCTTTTCCAGGAGGACTTTGAGGGTGGGCAGCAGCCGGTCAGGTTGGCCCCAACAGGACAGGATGAAACCTAGGAGAAAGCCCTTGCTGATGCTGCCGCCCCTCCTCCAGCAGGCAAGCGTCTCAGGAAGCTGGGGGCGGGGGGAGGACGGCTCTAGGCAAGGTCGAAGCCCTTGGCAGCTGTGGGGCCCCAGTTGCTTTCCTCTGCTGGAGGAGCTGGGAAACAAGGAGGGCACTCCGAGCGGCAGCTTCCCAGTGCAGATCCCACTGGCTCTGCTCTGCCAGCAAAAGGGGAGGAGGAGGCACCATCCCTTCCAGGGACACCTCTGAGCACCGGGACTGGCATTCCCCGCCCCCCCCCCCCAAATCTTTTATTTTTAAACAACAGACAAAAACAAACACAAACATGAAACAACAAATAAAACCATCTTTCCATTGTACAGTGTGTTGGTTGGTACGCATCTTCTGTGCAAAATATCAGCAGCCTTTCCCTTCTACATTTAAATTATAATTCATATATCAACTATGTCTATTATATTATATTGCTTTTTATAAAGAATTTTTATTTTTAAACAAACCTACACAAACAAAACATAAAACCATCTTCCAATTACATACAGTGGGTCAGTTGGTTACACGTCTTTTGTGCTTCATCTCCATAGTCCTCACTTATAATTTGTGTAAATTCTCATGTCCATCGTGTGTGTGTGTGTGTGTGTGTGTGTGTGTGTGTGTGTGTGTGTATTTATATGTATGGTATTCAGCTTTGTTCGGGTATTTTCCCACATCTTTATAGTTGTGCTTTTAAAGGTGTAGCGACGTTTCAGCAGAATCTCATCTGCCATCATCAGGCTTGTGTAATGGGTTAGGGTTTTGCCAAATCTGTCACGATCTTTTGTTTGAGTTTATAATAATTCAAAACTTCCACCAATTCTTCCTTTCATTTTGCTAACATATTCTTTGTCAAAATCTTCATTTTATCTTTATTTATTTTCAAACCTGCTACCTTTCCATATTCCTCTATCATTTCTATCAATTTAGGTGCTGTTTCTAATGGATCCTCTAAGATAAAAACCAGGTCATCTGCAAATGCTTACTCTTCCTTTTTAATTTTCATTCCTTTTATATCTTTTTCTTCTCTAATATTTCTATTTAGTACTTCTAATGTTAACACAAAGAACAGAGGTGAGAGCAGACAGCCTTGTCTTGTCCCTTTCTTTATATCGATACAATCTGTCAATTCCCCATTTATGATATATAGCTTCTATGGCATAAATACATTTCTTACCAAAGCCCATCTGCTTCAACTATAATAACATAAATCACTAATTCACATTATCAAAGGCTTTCTGAGCATCTAAAAATATCAAAGCCATTTGTTTTTCAAGATGTGCCTCGTAATATTCCAAAGTGTCCAGGATTATTCTCATGTTGTCTTTGATTTGTTTCCTTGGCAGAAACCCATTTTGAGCAGAATGAATAAAGTTATTCAAATATCTTTTAAGTCTTTCTGCCATTATTGAAGCAAAGATTTTATAGTCTGAATTTAGCAGGGAGCTGGGTGTATAGTTCTTAATTTGTTGTGGATCAGCATCCTCCTTTGGCACAAGTGTAATATATGCTTCCCACCACGATTTAGGTGTCCTCATTTTTAGCATAACTTCATTCATAACTTCTAACAATGGAAGATTCAATGATTCCTGTAGTGTCTTATAAAATTCCGCTGGCAATTCATCCAGGCCTGGTGCCTTTTCATTATTATTTTTTTTTAATGCTTCGGTTAACTCCATCATCGTTATATTCCCTTCTAGCATCATTCCAGTGTCTTTAGATATCTGGGGTAAATTCGCTTTTTCCAGGTATTGTTTAATTCTTTCCTCCTCTATATTCTCTTGTTCATACAATTTTCCATAATAATCCTGTATAATTTTTTTCTTCTCTCTATTTCCATAGCAAATTTGCCCTTGATCATTTATCAATTGCATTATTTTTCTTGATTCTCTCTCTTTTTTCAATTTATATGCTAACCATCTACCTGGTTTATTTGCATCTTCAAAGTAATTCTGTTTAGCACCTCTAATTTTTTGTGCTAATTCCTCCTTTTCCATTAGCCCCATTTTATGTTTAATTGTGTCCATTTTTATTTTAATGTCCTTTTTTGTGGAAGTTTCTGTAACTCTTTTTCAAGTCTTTTATAATCATCCTCTAATGTTTTTAAAGCTTGCCTTTTCTTCATTTTTCTTTTCCTTGTATAATCTATTATCAAACCTCTGTCATAAGCCTTCATTGTGTCCCAAAGATTTTGTATTGATGTGTCCTCTGTTCTGTTTTCTTTAAAGAAAAAAGCTAATTCTTTCTCCATTTTCTGTACAAATTCTTTTTCTTTTAATATAGTATTATTTAAAGTCCATCTAGATCTTCTCCTTTGTCCTTTCCATTTAATTGTCACTGGATTGTGGTCTGCCCAAGTACTTGTTCTGTATCAATTTCCTGTATATTAGAAATCAATTCTGTTGACATCCATATCATATCTATTCTAGACCGTGATGAGTGTCTATTTGAATAAAAAGTTATTTTATTTTTATTTTTAGCATTTCTTTCTCTCCAGGTGTCTTTTAAATTTATTTCATCTGTTATTTTAAAGAAGGATTTTGGAACAGTCTTTCGACTTTGCTTTACTGTTTTTTGTGTTTTATAGTCCAATTTCTTATTTTCTATTCCACTGAAGTTTCCCATTGTGCATAATTATCATATTCTAATTCAATTATTTTTCTGTGTAGTTTTCTATAAAATTATGGTTTATTGTCATTTGGAGTGTAAAATGCTATGAGTAGTACTTTCACATTATTGTCCATTATTTCCACCATCAAGATTCTTCCATTATCATCTGCATAAATTTGTTCCACAGTAATTGTATCTCTAATATATAAAACTACTCCTCTTTTGGAGGGCGGAGCTGGTGTCGCGACGATACGGCATGCGGTCTTGGAGGTCTGAGATCGCTGCCAATATCTTTACTCCTGGACGGTCCAAACGGATTTAAACCATCCCGAAGAGACGGTGAATGCAAAGAGCACATCCTGTCAATCCCAGGGATACCGCAAAGTCCCTGGTAGATCCAGGAGAAGCTCTTTTTGCCAGCGGCAAAAAGCTGCTGAAGTTGGGAGAGCTCCGAAACGAAAGAGAACGGAAAGAGAAAGTGTGCCGGTTTGGTGAGAATTTTGTCTTTACTTTAAGATTTGAAAGGACACCCTAAGGAAAAGAAAGAATCTGTAAACGTTTTGACAGAAGTGATTAAGCAGCGATTTTAAACAGGAAGTCAAAGTATTTTTTTATTTTTTTTTCTCATTGCTGGATTTTCTATGCATGATTTTATATTTTGAAACTGGACTGGTGTTTTTTTTCTCCACCTATTCTTTCTCTCCTTTTTGACTTTATAATATTTTAGGCTAGAGACTCCCTTCTAGTCATCTTTTTAAATATCCTTTTCCCTTTTTAATTATTTTTTATTATATCTTGTTTGGAAAAGGAGGGGGAAAGTGAAAGCAGAAGAAACTTTGTAACACTGCCAACTAGAGGCTTGGAAATATTCTATCTCTTTTTTTTCTAGACCAGACAAAGCTGAGAAAGAACTGAGACTTCTTTTCAAGGACTTTGAGCCTGTTTGATAAGATAGAGGGAAGAGCATGGGAGAGTATTATTACAGGTGCTCTTCTGGGTTTCTATCAATAGCTGGAGTCTGGTGTTGAAGTTTATAGAAAGGTGATAAGACTCTGGAGAAGAGAGTTATAAATTTTATCAAAAGCCTTGGATAACCAAACAAGGTGCAGTGTGCTTTATTTACTTTTTTAAAGCTAGGCTATTTCTTACTTTAACAAACCCCCTCCTTACTAGCTTACTTTTTGTAATAGCTATTTGGATCTTTGGCCTTTTGGAACTTCTTTTTGTCTTTTTGTTTTTGAAGTCTAATTTTTACGTTTACATTTTATTTTAAAGGGAAAATTTTAGTATTAATGTTTTCCTTCTTTTTTCCTTTTTTAAAGGGAGTAGTATCTTTTCTTTTTTCTCTCTCCCTCCCTTGTATTTTTTTTTCTATTTGCCTTCCATATTGTTGTTGTTTTTTGTGGCTTTCTTTTTTTTATGCACCCTTTTATACTTGAGACTTTTAAATTGGATTAAGGTGTTGAAGAACCTGAAGAACCTTTCTTTTCTCTTCTTTAGTTTTTATTTTCTATTTTTCCACCTTCTCCAGGATTTAACAATTCTTTCTTTTTTGTGTGTATTTATGGTCTTTTCTTCCATTTTTGAGTTTTTACTGCTATCTAACCAATCAATTGGATTAAGGTACACAAGAACCTGAAGAATTTGTTTATTATTATTATCATTATCATCATTATTATTATTATTATTATTATTATTATTATTATTATTATTATTAT